TACACTAACTGAAATTAAGTATAATTTGCAGTATATCAATAGTAGAGAAGATGAAACCAAGATTCAAATCATCTATTTGGAAGTTAAAAAAGAAAAAACACTAATCAGAACAGCAAAAAGAATAAGGAATAAAAAATAATCAGGATAGTGTAAGGCACCTCTGGAACAACTTCAAGCATACCAATATTTGTATCATGGGGATTATGGAAGGAGGAGAGAGAGAGAGAGAGAGCACAAGGAATTGAAAACCTATTTGGAAAAAAAAAATGACAGAAAACTTTGCCAACTTGGTGAAGGAAATAAACATACAAGTTTAAAAAGTGCAGAGAGTCCCAAACAAGATGAACCCAAAGAGCCGCAAACCAAGACACATCATAATTAAAATGCAGAAGGTTAAAGACAAAGAGGGTGTCTCATAAGCACCAAAAGAAAAGCAGTTAGTTCCCTACAGTGGAATTCCTACCAGACTTCCAGCTGACTTTTCAACAGAAACTTTGCAGACCAGAAGGAAGTGGCAAGAAATATTCAGTCATAGAATGCAAGGAAAGAACTCTTACCATTCACAACAGCATGGATGAACATGAAGAGCATTAAGCTAAGCAAAATAAGCCAGTTGGAGAAAGATAAATACTGCATGATCTCACTCATTTGTGGAATATAATGAGCAACATAAACTGATTAACATAAATAAATTCAGAGACAGAGAAGTATTGAACAGACTGTTAAACTTCAGAGGGAAGGCAGGGAACGGGGTAAGAGATAAACCTAATGACTTGTATGCATGCATCCTATATAATAAAAGCCTAATATGTTCAGTCGTCTGGTTGGCCGTTTAACCAATCCAAGTGTAATATGCTAATGATATGCTAAGGCCACTCAACTGCTTGCTATGATGTGCACTGACCACCAGGAGGCAGATGCTCCAACTGGTAGGTTAGCTTGTTGCTAGGGTCTGGCCAATTGGGACTGAGTGAGATGGGTTGGACACACCCTGGAGCCCTCCTGAGATCCTTCCCTGGCTGGCCAAACTCCTGTGCCCCTCCCTGGCCCTGATCATGCACTGGTGGGGTTCCTTAGCCTGGCCTACACTCTCTCACAACCTGAGACCCCTCGGGGGATGTCAGAGAGCCAGTTTCAGCCTGATCCCACAGGCCAGGCTGAGGGACCCCACTGGTGCATGAATTTGTGCACCAGGCCTCTAGTATAAGCAGAAACAATGGACAAAGATTCTACGAGGAAGGGGGTATGTGTGTGTGGGGTAGGTGGCTGGGGAGAGGTCAATGGGGGGAAAATGAGACATAAGTAATACTTTAAACAATAAAGAATTTTAAAAGAGGATGTACAATTATGATTACTCAGCAAATCTATCATTTAGAATAGAAGGACATATAAAGACTTCCTGGACAAGAAAAAGCTAAAGGAGTTTATCACCACCAAAACAGTATTATATGAAACTAGAGGCCTGGTGCATGAAAATTCATGCACTAGAGGGGGGGTGGTCCCTCAGCCTGGCCTGCCCCCTCTCACAGTCCCAGAGCTCTCAGGGTGGGAGACAACCCGATGGTTGGGGAAGGCGATGATGCCCTATCACACCTCTGTTGCTGCCACTGCTGGCAGTGCAAGCCTCAACTGGCCCTTGTTACCTGAGCCTCAGGCAGCCCTGGGTGGCTGGGTATCCGCCATCCGAGGCTTGCCTGAGCCTTGGGCTGGCCCTGGGTGCCTGGGGGGCTGAGGGGACTAGGGTTCTCCAGAGGCAGGCACGAGGAATGCCTGCTGCCCCGGCAGGGCTGAGGGGACTGGGCGCTGCCATCTTTGAGGGTGTGACCGTCAATTTGCATATTCCCTCCTTATTGACTGTGGGCAACACCATCTTTGAGGGCATGACAGTCAATTAGCATATTCCCTCCTTATTGGCCATGGGCACTTCCATCTTTGCGATGGTGTGAGGGTCAATTAACATATTCCCTCTTTATTAGATAGGATGTTAAAGGGTCTTCTTTAAGAAGAAGAAATACAAAAGATAAAAATATGAATAATAAAAGGTCAATAAAGCCCTAGCCGGTTTGGCTCAGTGGATAGAGCATCAGCTTGCAAACTGAAAGGTGCCAGGTTTGATTTCGGTCAAGGGCACATGCCTGGGTTGTGGGCTCCATCCCCAATGGGGGGCATATAGGAGGCAGCTGATCAATGATTGTCTCTCATCATGGATGTTTCTCCCAT